AGAGGGCCAGTTAACTTAAAGAACTGAGAAAAGCAAACATTGGCTGGAACACAGCAGACAAGGCAACAGCCAACAGGGACCACTGGAACAGAACTGTAGATGCCCTTTGCTCCATGACAAGTCTAAAGCAATAAGTAGGTTGTCTACAACCAAGAAATAATCCTTTGGAATAGCATAATTTAATACAGCAAAAGTCTAGCTGCCCAGGAGAAGTTATGTTTTATGACATACTTTTCCAGATGAGAAATTTGAAAAAAAGGAAATTATGTTTGAGTTGACAGGGTGGTCAAATGGTTTCAGGCTTTTCAGCCAGCAATGGCAGATGATGTTCTTGATCAAATGCTGCAGTTGTTTACCTGGGTAGTTTAAGTTGTTGGACTTACCTAAGATCAGTTATAAATACATTAAATGTTCCATCAGCACCATATTCCTAAACATAATAGAAATTTCACTTGAGTCACCTGCAAAACTGATGGACTAGTTAAACATCATTTGTATCTTGGGGACTCTGAAGCAGAAGTACTCCTACTCATAGTCGCTGACTGATAAGACTATAAATTCAGAATACTGATGGCTAAATTTTATCCAAAACAGAAGCTATCCAAAAACAACAGCCATGAAAGGGAGCCAGTGTAAAAGCAAAGACACAAGAGTTGTTTCTTGATAATATTCATCTTCATCATCTTTTATTTGCCATTCTCTACTTCCAATTGCCCATATTTCACTCTGGTTGCCCCCCAAATTTTACGTAAACTATTGTTGTGAAATACTCCTGGGAGGTCTGTATATTCCTAAGAGCATTTCACAACAATAGTTTACGTAAAATTTGGGGGGCAAACAGAGTGAATTATGGGCAATTGGAAAATAGAGAATGATAAAAAAGAGGTATATACCTCAGATAAACAACTTAGAGAGGACAAGGAGTTGGCTCCAGTTGCTCAAAGGGTTACAATGCTATCAACCCGATAAATCACTATCTTATGGATAGCACAGTGATTTATCTGGGGGATAGTGTTATCCACCCTTCAATCAACTGGGCCTAAGCTTATAGACAATAGGCCACATTCCATATATCAATATTCTAACATGGCTCCGAGGCTTTTGGAAATTTTTTAAGTTTCTTTTGTCTCTCAATTCCCAAAAGAGACTTGGATACAAAGAAAACAACACCAAAAATATAGAAGTTTGTCCTGAAAGCCTCAGAGCCATGTTAGAATATTGATATCTCGAATGTGGCCTACTGAATGAGTGTTTTTCACTATTACACTATCAGTACATCATCATGAATAATATTATAGATGGTCATATCGATTTTAATAAAAGTGAAAACAAACCTGTTAGCTATAGTTACATACCCTGTACAATTTGAAATGTTTTGTGCTGATTGCTTGATACTGTGGGTTCTTTTTAAAAGCTCTTGGCTCAAAACAAACATCATTGTTTGTACCACGGCCAAATATATTTACATCTTTTTCAAGATCTACGGAAAAAAATTGGAGAAGGGGAAATTAATACAATAAATGCATTGCTTGCAGGACCATTTACCATGCAATAAGGGAAACATTTGATGTATAGTTGCTTGAATGGGTTATTAAACTTAAG